ACCTTCCCTCCCATGTCTAGATTCCTGCAGAGTGGCTGTGCTGCATAGGAAATCTGGCATGTGGGGGTGGCATTCATGGGACTGTGGAGAACATCTCAATATAATATCTGTTTCACAAGATAAAATGGCATTTAGTCTGTGTCTGTGGTTGTCTGAAGCCCACTGTGGCTATGTAATTTGTAATTTTCTTGTTGGTCCTCCCGCTCTAATTGGGCTGGGGGCTAAGGATTCATGTGATGTCTTTCCTTGTCTCTGGAGGCTCTCATTCATCCTTGAAATGTCCCCTACACCCCATTTAGAAGAGAGAGTCGGGCTAGGCTGCCTGTTCTCCTCACTCTGGGACCCTCTCCACAACACCAAAGTTATCGTCTGAGAAACAAATCTGAGCATAGCCCTCCCTTTCTCGACACCCAGGGGTTGCTTGTTGATGCCTTCAGATAAAAATCCAATTCTTCCTCCTGGAAAACAAGATTCTTAAACCATTCAGCTGAATTCTCCAGCCTGATTTCATGCCTCCCAGCAACCCTACACTTGAGCCGTGTTGTTCTGTGAACATGCTTTCCTACCTCTGTGCCTTTGTATGAAGTGCTCCCTTTACTGGAATCCTCCGTGTGGAGGAGCTCAGTCTGGGACAAACCGGGCCCAGGGACGGCAGAAATGGAAAGGGAGGAGAGTGAGATTTTGCTGGACAGGGCAATGACTGTGTGCTGACCAACATTTCTATCCATCGTCCCCATCAGTGACAATCAGAGGCATGTCCTTAATTTGGTTGGAATCTTGCTTTGGCAATGTGGCATTTTGCTTGTTTTTTTTTTTTGTTTTGTTTTGTTTTTTTTCTCAAAGCAAAGGAGAACCCAAGGGGTCAGAGATGGAAATCATGCATGGAAAACATTTTCCTTATTTTTCCGCTAAAATGTGCATGGGGCAGGGGCAAGAAATATTTGAGGGAGGAGAAATACACAGCAAACATGGCATTTTGAGAGGTTAATTGGATGTGGATGAACATATTGAGATGATGTTCTGTTATTGTCAGAAATAATGTTTTACAGAGAAGCTATTTGTGAAGAGAGACCAGTTATTATTGATGGACTAATGTGCACTCAGGAATATGGAAGTAATAATGCAGAGGTACAGTGTCTACAGAAAGATGTCAATCAAACGTGAGGTTGGAGGGGACAGCCTGAAAACCTTCTGATTTGACTCTGCATATAGGATTTGACCTGTAGGGCCCATATGAACAGACCCAGGGTTATTTCACAAAATCACAAGTGGATTTTGGATGGTTTGCCGACCACTTTGCCCCCCTGGGATGGGGTCTGATGAGTGCTCTTTAGAATTCAAAGAACCAACACAAGCCTGTGATTCCGCAAACATGTGTCTCAAGTTTTAGAGTACCATTCTGATTTCAAGTACCGTTCCCTATCCCCATAACCCAGTGAATGAATCCTGTCATCACAGCGCTTCATTGTCCAGCTGTCATCTGCTCACTTCCATCTGCCCGTAGAAATGTGACAGAATTCTTTGCTCCAACCACATGCCCACATCTTAGATGCAGGAAGCATGATCATGAGCCCCGGAAGTAGGAAAAGACTGTATAAAGGTAATGATCTTGCACTTTGTTCCAAGTGCAAAATAAAATGGCCCCAACAGAAACATGAACAGGGAGGGGAAAGATAAAGCAAAAGAAATCTTTGAGTCATGGGAAGATCATCGTCTAGCTCGCTGGTGTCTCTGGCCTTTGCCTCCTTCCCCGCTTTCCCCCAGGAAAAATGCTTTGGGGGAGCCAAGCCAAATCCTGCTGCTCAACTCTTCAGAGCCACAGTGACCAGCAGAGACCCAGATCTCGACCAATTTGACCTAATGCCCTAAGATGCTAAGCCTGCGAGTACCACTTCTCAGGGTACTTTGCTAAGCATTTATACGGTCTGTCATTTAGAACACAAGACTTGGGGACAAACCCCAATTTTCAGTGCAATACTTACCATGGAGCCAAAGAACTTTGTATAGAAATCCCAGATGATCTCTCCCCTCTGAGTCCCATAGGGGGATGGATGTGCAGGACAACTTCACTGTCCAGCCAGTATAAATAAGTGACCGGCCCCCACACCCTCCCTGTTCCTTCTCTCTGCGTAATTTCCTCCTTATAATTTGCCACCACCAAGCGTACTGTTTGATTTGCTCGTCTTGTCTACTGTCTGGGGCCTGCACCCAGCCCCTAGAGTGTATATTTCATACATTTCTTGCCCAGAGTCGGTGCTTTGTGACTGTCCATCGAGTGCAGGAAGAATGAACTTGCTCACCTGCAGGGGCTGAATGGGGGCAGGAGGGAGGTCGGTTCGAGACCCAGTAATAGATCTTCCATTGCCCCCTCGCCCCGTCTCCCCTCGCACTCCTGTTACATGCTACAAGAGTCTTTTGTTTTCTACCTCTCCACAGAGCATTGGCTGTGATGACTACTTAGGCTCCGACAAAGTTGTGGACAAATGCGGGGTGTGTGGAGGTGATAACACAGGCTGTCAGGTTGTGTCAGGCGTGTTCAAGCATGCCCTCACGAGCCTGGGCTACCACCGAGTTGTCGAGATTCCCCAAGGAGCCACCAAAATCAACATCACCGAGATGTACAAGAGCAACAACTATTTGGGTAAGCTTGGTCTTTTTCCAGAGGAAACCCTCTGTCACTACCAGATGATTCGTTCCTTCCCAGGATCGTGACACAGCAGTGTCCAGAGGTCCGTAGACACGTAGAAGGTGCCACTGGGGCACGCCAAAGCACCGCTTGACCTCCCCCTTGAAATGAGAAGCATGGGTGGAGAAAATTTTAAAAGTCCTTGCAAATAAATATTTAATACCTACACATTTAAGCCAGCCTTTTTTCCTTCCAAGAGCAACGTGGTTATGAAACAGGTGATGGGCTAAATGGTTTCTCTGAGGGGCGCCTGGGTGGCTCAGTCGGTTGAGCATCCAACTTCAGCTCAGGTCACAGTCTCACGGTTCGTGAGTTCGAGCCCCGCGTCAGGCTCTGGGCTGATGGCTCAGAGCCTGGAGCCTGCTTCCGATTCTGTGTCTCCCTCTCTCTCTGCCCCTCCCCCATTCATTCTCTGTCTCTCTCTGTCTCAAAAATAAACATTAAAAAAAAAAATTTTTTTTAAATAAATAAATAAATGGTTTCTCTGAGATGGGGGAGGCTCTATAAAAAGCCAGGGTATGTGCCAGTCTTTGTTCTGTTGGGAGTTCAAGGTGGCCAGGGGCCACTGATGACCCTGTCTGGAGCTTCGTTCCCTACAAGTCTAAAGTAAAACCATTTTTTCTCTTCTTTCTGCTTCATCTGCCTGAGGCAGCAGGATGTGTAGAGCATGTGTGTATCTTCTTAACAGCTGCAGTCATTTTGGTCAATGTCGTCAATATCAAGAAGCCGTTTTAACCCATTGTCCTGCTGAAAGTTAGATCTTTGTTGATACTTCCTCCTGGGTTTCTGGCTGATTGCATTTTACACAAAGCCAATCAGGCCATACAAATTAATTTTTACCAATTTTAGGTAAGCATGTGCAGATTAACCAACAAAATAACACAAGGAAAGCAATTCCTGAAAGTCATTTCATGAAGGCAATATTCATTTTCATTTTTTAATTATGTCTTTCACTTAAATGGCACAGACACTATGTGCCAGGCACCATTCTTAGTGTTTTGCCTCTACTAAATTATTGAACCCTCTCAACAACCCTAGGGATAGGAGCAGTTCCTATCCCCATTTTATAGATAAGGAAATGAGCACAGAGAAATTATGTAACTTGCCAACATCACCCAGCAAGGATGAGGAAGAGCTGAGATTCGAACCCAGGCAGTCTATCTCCAAGCATAGCAGTCTATGAAGATATAATACCCATGAGCAGTTCTCAGAGTTCTTCTGGTACACCATTGGCCATGCAGCAGTCAGTGGTTGCAGCAGTTGAGAGAAGTGGTTAATTTTGCAAATTTCAAGTACCAAGAACACCCCTGAAGATAAATCCAGACCCAACAACTCCAAATGCCACAGCTCTTCTCTCTGCACCCAGGAAAATGCAACTGAAATTAGCTTCACCTGGATTTATTGGCAGGAGGAGGAAGGAATGGTAGGTGAGACCCTGAGACAAGTCCAGTTAAAGTGGAGAGCTGACCCATTGGCTCTGGCAAGCCCAGGAGCCACCAAAGTGACAATAAGCCCAGTTTTCCCAATGAGTGGTTTGTGTGTTATTTTTAGTTGTGAGAAGATAGTCCTTGTGTGTGTTTACTCCTTATTTTTTTTTTTTTTTTTTTTTTTTTTTTTTTTTTTTGAATGTTAGAACATCACATCTCCATAAACATCCCATCTTCTAGAGTGGAAAATGTTCTTCAGGGGATTAGTTGAAGCGTCATTGGGTGCAAGTGCACCAGAAAACAATGCCACTTTTCACGAGCGTTGTGTTGTTTTTAGTAAATTCTCATTGCTCAAATTAGTCCTGTTCAGGAAACAGTTTTTAAGTTGTGCCCTCTGAAGAGAAAACCCTGGGTGAATATCCACTGGATGTCTGAATGGAAACTGCTCTCGGAGCCTCGGTGTTTGCATCTAGAGTATGGGAAGAAGAATCTTGACCTTGTAAGTTTACAGGACAATTAATGGCGTAACAGATATGCAGAACCCTATCACTTACTAGCAACTGACCAATGTTCGTTCCCTTTCCTTTGTCTCCGAGACCTTTTTAGTACATCAGAGCTTTGTGGAATCAAAATTCCCTCTCCCCCTAAAAAAGGCTCAATGAAAGGGTGATGATTCAGAAAGTCAAATTCAACCTTGTATGCCCAGAGAGCAGTTGGGTGCATGAGAAATCCAGAGTCCTTTGCCAATATTATAGGATGGCATGTGGGCAAAGGAGGGAGAATGGAAACAGAAGAACAGGCCACAGAGAAAGGAGGTTCCAGAGGTGATGAATGGGACCTTCTGTCTGCAGCACTGAAACTACATGCAATGCTTTTTTTTTCCTCCTTTTTTCTTATGTTTATTGACATGTAATTCATGTATCGTAAAATTCAACCTTTTAAAATGTACAGTGGTTTGGATGGTATTTGTCTGATCACAAGTATTCTCTTTAGCTATCCCACCTATCCTGCTAAATCTCCTATTCTGTCAGGCCTGTATAGTTTAAAAGTTAAATTGCATGGGATTGCCTGAGATTGTGTAGAAGCCATTAGAACACAGGTGTCTCTCGCTATTTTTGAACTGTTCAACGACTGTGTTTTACATTACACATTTTCTTTTTTTTTTTTTTTTAATTTTTTTTTTCAACGTTTATTTATTTTTGGGACAGAGAGAGACAGAGCATGAACGGGGGAGGGGCAGAGAGAGAGGGAGACACAGAATCAGAAACAGGCTCCAGGCTCTGAGCCATCAGCCCAGAGCCCGACGCGGGGCTCGAACTCACGGACCGCGAGATCGTGACCTGGCTGAAGTCGGACGTTTAACCGACTGCGCCACCCAGGCGCCCCTACATTACACATTTTCAAACACTTAAACGTTTTTTGAAGAGATATGTGGTGGGTTTCTCTACAATTTTCCAGGTAATGGTGAAGGTTTTGGTTTTCTTACTGTGTAATTCCTGGCTAGGAAAACTATTTTGTGTAAAAATGTGACTTGACGCACAAAATTGATTTGGCTGTCCATGTACAGCTGTTCTGTAGAATTGGCAATAGAGAGGGAAGGAATAGTTCAAATTTGTGTCATTGCTTTCAAACCATGCACAGCTTTTCAAAGTTTTTCAGTTGCCCTGTTTCTCGGAATTACCTTTAGTTATTTGTGATGCAAATCAAACTTTTTCTGGTGAAACACTTGATGTTTTTTAATGACTAACTCTCCAAACTTGATAGAAATGGAAAATAGCTTTCTATGAAAACAGAAGGACTTATATTATTACTGCTGGAAAAGATGGTCTTATCACCTCATTTTAAAAGGTTTTTAATTTTAAAACCCTTAATATGTAAGTGCCTTTTCTAGGCCAGTCGCTTAGTTAATGATAACGTGCTATATGTATGGTAAGTACCAGAGTCTCCAAGCATTTTGACGTACGTGGCCTTCTGATTTTTAAAATTGGGCATTCTTTACTTTGCTTGCTTCGAGAAAGATCTAGAATTACTGAAGAAGCAATGATAGAGTGAGGATGTGAAAATTGAAATTTAAAAATCAAAACTACATATGCGGAAGAAGGAGGCATACATCCCCCAAATCTTGACTAATATGTAAATAGTAATGGTGCATTCAACCAGGCGCTGAGTTTATGGCTGAATTTGGTGCTTTCAACCAGACGCTGAGTTTGGTTTTTTCCATCAAGAACTGGACCCGCTAGGGGCATCCGGGTGGCTCAGTCAGTTGAGCATCCAACTTCGGCTCAGGTCATGATCTCATAGTCCATGAGTTCAAGCCCCACATCGGGCTCTGCTCTGACAGCCCGGAGCTTGGAACCTGCTTCAGGTTCTGTGTCTCCCTCTCTCTATGTCCTCCCCTGCTCATTCTCTGTCTCTCTGTCTCTCTCTCTCTCAAAAATAAATAAACATTAAAATAAATTAAAAAAAAAAAAAGACCTGGTCCTGCTAGGATGCAGACTCCGAAGGCCGAGCTCTAGCCCTGGTCCTGCTATAACCCACAGGGGACAGACCCACCTGGAGCTGGGGCAACAGGCCAGCTCAGCACTTCGTGACGCCCACTATTTCTCTGGGCAAAGCTGGAGAAACCGTGACCTTTAATGATACACAGATTTCAGGAGGTAGACCCTTTGTCTCATTTTAGATTGGAAACCAATGAATTTCTGCAGAACTGAGCTCCGCTTTTATTTTTAAGTTTATTTATTTCTTTTGAGATATAGAGAGGAGGGAGGGAGGGGCAGAGAGAGGGGGAGAGAGAATCCCAAGCAAGCGCAAAGCCTGATGTGGCGCTCAGATTCTCAAACTGTGAGATCATGACCTGAGCTGAAACCAAGAGTCGGACACTTAACCAACTGAGCTACCTAGGCATCCCAAGCTCCATTTTTTAGTGTTTATCTGAATTTGTCCACATGCTCCAAAATATACACTATTTGGTGCATTATAGATTCCTAGATGATAGATAGATAGATATAGATAGATAGATAGATAGATAGATAGATAGGTAGATATCTTTTTTTTTAATGGAAAAGGCTTTGGAATCCATGGATCTGCTAAAGGCTATCTATTGTGCTTTTGCATGAGAGTTATTCTGAACCCTGCTCTTTGGAAATAAAAAGTTAAACCTAATTTTATTAAAATGATTGACATTTTATATTACTTACCTCTTCCTTAGTAACAAGATGTTGTAAAACTATTCTACCGGAAATATCAAAGTGTGGCTAGTGCAGCTAGCTCAGCTTACTAATGTCATTATGTAACAGTTCAGAAATCAGACATAAAAGCATACCAAGCAAAATTGATTCTACAGGACGTGTTCTACCTGCCAACATGCTACATGTCATAGAGCCTGAGACTTGGAAGAAATTTGTTAAAGGTCTGTAAGCTTTAAAAAATAAATTGGCAATACCTTTACTTTTAGGCATGTTTTCTTAAAAGTTTTAAACAATAATAATAATCACCGGCATTTAAAACATCAAGTATCATGGATCGTCT